AATAAAATAAAAAAAAAAAAAATAAAATAAAAAAAGAAACAAAAAAGGAGACTTTTAATTAAGAAGAGAATTGAATTTATTTCATTTCCATATCCGGTTCGATTTCAATATTCTAACTGTTCTTAACCTATTTTATTGGATTGATGATCTCAATCAAATCTTGTAATCAGGACCGGTGCGTACTATCCCCTACACCCCCAACTGGAGGGTCAAACCTGATTGGGGTCCCGAGTGGTGCTTTTTGACCCTCTCTATGTTATCAAGATTGGATTTTTTCTATCTCCATTTATATAAGATACAAATTAAAATAAGTGCAACTGACTATTAAAGGATGAAAAGTTTTCGCGGATTTTGACGTCATTCTCGGGTGTTTTATTTCTCGTCCGAATCCGTAAATTTGTTTTGTTCAGCCAAAGTCTCGAACCCCCCCAAAAAAAAACACTACATAAAATTTAATATTTTTTATCCATAATGCTGAATGTTGTAAAATTCTTCAACTTTTTAACAAGAAATATCTGAAATTGATGTTAAAAATATCTTAAGTTGATGTTAAAAATTGCCGCCAAACATTATTGATTTATTTAAGATAATCTATTATGACAGGTCTCTAATTTGTATTTAGATCAAGGCAATCCTTATTAACCTGATTTACATACAGTATATTTATTTTCTAATTGAATTCATCACTAATTTTGCATATGATACATTATTGTAAATAGTCAGGTTATAATAAAATTTGTATTTTAAATACAATATATACATTATAGATATTTTGGAGATTTAAATAATTTCACATAATAATCCATCGAGTCCACAACGTAATGCAATGCAGAAAGCACTGGACGCAAACGTTATATCACTGGCTCATCTCGCTTTTGTGACGAAGACGAAACCAAATAGCCTCAATACAGAGCAGCTACTCCTAATTTCGATGGTGATACTCATCCAAGCATATATAACCGACTGGAACCAGTCCCAAGAGCAACGTCTTTCTTCACCAGGCCACTCCAACCAGCATAGTCTTATATAGACAAAGACTGGAGATTTCACATAATAATTCATTGAGTCTGATATAAGAAACCTCAACAGAATGCAGAAAGCAATGGATGACCTTTTGGGGATTCATCAGAAGTGCGCATTCAGTACCCAGAATCGAACCCGGACCGTTACGATACAACGCAAGTGTCATTCCACTGAGCCAACGGGCCTCTGTGACGAAGAGGCAACTAATTAGACTCTATATAATGCAACTACTCCTAATTCCGGTGGTGATAATCATCCAACCATACATAACCGACTGGAACCGACCCCAAGATAAACGCCTTTCTTCTTCCCTCCAGAAATTTAGATGGTGGATCAAGCATAGACTCGATCAATTATTATGTGAAATTATTTAAATCTCAAAATTTCTATTACTTATAAGCTTATGCATGATCCAGATTGAATGCGCTGGAGGGAGCGGCTTCGTGAAAGACGTTGCACTTAGGGGCCGTTTTTAGTGGGTTATATATACTGGATGAGTCTCAGCACCGGAATTAAAATAGCTACATATATATATATATATATATATATATATATATATATATATATATATATATATATATATATAAATAACTATACTCGTCTCGAAAAATCTTGAAACCATGTTTCAAAAATGGAAGCTAAAGGCTCGAATTTAATTTTGTAATTAAATTAAAACATTAATGGAATCAATATTCGCTTGAAGATAAAATGGAACTAATGCTTTTAATTTAATTACAAAATTAAATTTGAAGTTTTAACTTCCATTTTTGAAACATGGTTATTACTACTAATGTGGAAAAAACATATTTTAAATCAGTTAATATATATATATATATATATATATATATATATATATATATATATATATATAATTTTTATTTAAAAATATGATTCCAACTCGCGACATAAGAGGTCTCATGTTTCAAAACAAGAGCCGAAAACTTCAATATAATTATTTGAATTAAATTGAATTAAAGTAAGCTCTGTTCCATCTTCAAGCGAAATTTTTTTTTCTGAAATTTACGTGTTTTAAAAATTGAAATCAAAATTTCCATGGTAACAGCTAGGGCGAATTGTTTAAGTTGGGTAGGCGGGTGTTGGGTGTTAATAATAAGTATCAGTATAGAGTTACTTTCATAGATGTCAAGTCAGAGAAAGGTGGGGGTGTCTAAATTTGAAACGGAAGATGTATTAACCCTAGTCTGGTGTGCGTGTCTATGGAGATTTATTTATTTTTTTATTTCATTTTTTTATTTTTTTATGAAAGGGATTTGTGCATATAAAAAAACTGCCGTAACGTTTGTTTTTTGACGACTTCATAAAGGGTTATCTTTTTTGTAGGGTATTTAAACTATTTATTTGGGCTATGGATTATGTAAGTTATTATATTGTATGCTTGTTTTTGATGAAATGACAAATACTTATTTTTTTTTATCATGTCGCCCCAACCAACGTGAGAAGCAACAGCTTACTGAAAAGGAAAGTCAAAGGGAGGAAAATAAAATAAAAAATCTCAAGAAGACAGAAAATGAGGATTGACATTGCATTTATATTCTTGAAGATCATTGTTGACAGGAAAGAAGGAAAGCGAAAAAGAGTTCTATAAGCAAACAGTGAGAAAGAATAATCTATTAGCATAGAACTTTATCGGCTACAGCTAACAGTTTCACCAACGAAATTATGAGACCTAACTGCCAATCTAGTACTGCGCTGAAATTTGTGAAGTCGAGGTAGCAAAGAAAAAATCTTTTCGGTATAATTACCGTAGAAATATTTATAGTAGTGTTAGAGTGGTGCCACATTAGTAGGGAAAAAGGCCTCTTTTTGAATCAACAATAAAACAACAAAATGGAGATTAAAAAAATCCAGTACCTAAACTCTTGGCCATTTTAAGATGATTTCTAAAAAGGGTGCGTTAAAAAATTCTGCAATTTAGATATTGCTTTTCAACCCGTTAACTACAAGACAAATTACACGCATGTGGCTTTTTATACTAGTAATCCCTCCATAAAAAGCCCAAGAGCCACTCAAAGTAGAGGGTTAAAGTGTGACGTTTTATGAGCGTAAGAAAAGGCAAGACGTAAAGTTTATGGGGTAAAGATAACGGTTAACCCTAGACTTGAAGAGGTAAAGAATATAGTGATCGGTAAAACATCCTCTAGGAAGTCTCTTCCACAAAACAGCTGTTCCTGGGAAGAATCTGACGAATGAAACTTCTTCCTTACTAATAGAATACGAAAGGAATTCACTCATGTCTACGTGGCATGGCGGGTCCCAGTTGTAAAAGTCAGGTGTGCTTGGATTTAGGAATCTTCAGAACACATCTTGGAAATAGCGATAGAACAGAGAGAGGCTTGCAACGTTTCGTCTGCTGGAAAGGGAATGTCCGGTGGAAAATAATTCATCACCCACAAGGCCGCGAAAACACTTTCGAATTCTATCGCGGTAGGCAAGAGAGGAATGAGCCGATTTGACAGCAATACGTCATTTTTGATCTGATCTTGCATTCAGGTATGGTGAAAACTCACGCACAGAGATACGTAAAATTATATGATTTTATATGCAGGAAAATATCTCTGAGGGTCAGTTTAATTCTTGATGAAACCTCTAGAAGAGTATTTGAAGTGGGGAGTACCTTAAGGAGGAGTATACTGATTTGTTATAATTCAATAAATATTTTGAAGTACCCACGTCTTCATTGATGTTTCTGCCATTGAAATATGCTGATGTTAATGTAATGACAAAAGTACACAGGTTTAGGCTTTTAGAAAACAGTGGTGAACCAAAAACTTGGAGAGTTGAGTTAAAAGTAAATAACTGAGACACCCGGAAGAGGCATGGCACGTGGAACTAGAACAATCTACCCCGGTGGACGAAATAAAAGGTTCGGCTCGAAATTCCAATCACCTGAAGAAGGCCGGAGCGTACAACGTTTTGAATATCGCAATGAAGATGAGGATAACAGTCGGAATAATGTAAATAATGCAAGTAATCATAATACCTCATCTCAGAGATATAGACAGATATTCTGTGGATGTTTTGGGAAATCATTTTTTTTTCATTATTTTTTCTCATCTGAGAAGATTTTAATATTTATTCGATGTTTGTGACTAACCAGATCTTTTCTTGATTGGATTTTTGAAGAGATGTTTTTATTATTCAAGGGATATTTCCGACTATCCCACGTTTTTATTGATGATTTTGTCTCGTTCTTTGAAAAGAATATTTTACGATCAAAACTTAATTGTCAGAATTGATATAACTGATGTTACCTATATTTGTGGCATCAAATGTATTTTGTCGTTAAACTTAATAAAACATACGTTTTGTAGATACAAAGCGTCGTATTATAAAAAAAATGTATCTTCGGTTTGTATTGAGTGTAAGTCTATTAAATAATAGATTAAATCTTCTCTCAATAAAAACCTTTTTACGATTTAAGCAAAGCCCAAAACATAATATAGAAGAAATATCGGAAAGAAATTGGATTTTCGAAGACAGAAATCATTTTTACGAAACCATAGCTGGAGAAAAAAATGATTGATATAAAGATATTCTTTGATCAAGTCGTTGATAAAATTGAAATCTCTTTCTCTCTCTCTCTCTTATTCCCGTCGCTCCATCTGTCAAACAATTATAGTCTCTCTCTCTCCATCTGTCTAGAAAGTAAAGTTACTGTTTTCATTTATCTACGAATTATAGTCTTTATCTCGATCTGTCAACGAATCACTAAGTCTCGCTGCATCTGACTACGAATTACAGTCTCTCTCTTAATATCTATATATACCTATATCCAAACTCCAGCAATTAATCGACATCGGTTTATTTATATTATTTATTATTATATATACATATTTTGTTCAATCCGAATTTGAATCTTCTGTTGATCACGAATTGGTTCATTACTAACCTATCTATCTATCTATCTATCTATCTATCTATCTATCTATCTATCTATCACATTTTGACATATCTAGCTATTCGTTTTATTTCTTCGTATCTATCTATCTATCTATCTATCTATCTATCTATCTCATTCTTTTCATATCTATCTATCTATCTATCTATCTATCTATCTATCTATCATCATTTTTGACATATCTCGCTATTTGTTTTATTTCTTCGTATCTATCTATCTATCTATCTATCTATCTATCTATCTATCTCATTCTTTTCATATCTATCTATCTATCTATCTATCTATCTATCTAAGTCTGTCTGTCTATCTATCTTATTCTTTTTATATCTACCTCAATCTTGTCATGTCATTATCTATCTATCTATCTATCTATCTATCTATCTATCTATCTATCTCAGTCTTATCATATCTATGTCATTCTTTTCATATCTATCTATCTATCTATCTATCTATCTATCTATCTATCTATCTATCTATCTATCTATCTATCTGTTGTGGCCTTGTTAGGGCCAGAATTAAAGACACAAAGAGAGGAATTGAGTTTAACAAATATATTAACAGAAACAGTAATATACAAACGAGAATGTTACACCAAGAATCTTCGACCCGACTGTCAGAACTGATTGCTAGAAACGTCCCTCTCCAAAAGGCAATACCTGCTCCTATTTATAGCTGCATGCGTGTGTAAATTACCATAACCTATCCTTACCTCCCACGTGTATAATATATATATATATATATATATATATATATATATATATATATATATATATATATATATATATATATATGGATTCTCCCGTTGTATTCCACGTATGAGGGTCAAGCAACTCAGTTCCTAGGAACCAAAATCCAGACACCAGCACATATGATGTAATTATATTGCTGAACCAATCAAACTTTTTGAAGGGCCGAATAGAGAGGAACTGGTGCACCACGTGCCACAAGGTCCCTAAACAACTCTCCGCAGGTTTTGAATTCAGAGTTGTCATTCTTCTAGACCAGTTGCCATCCAAGGCTATAGAACCCAGTCTGTCCTGCTATTTAACCATAGCTGGAAGGAGAATAAGAGGATTAGTAACTTTCCCAAGGGTACTAGCACATAAGGGAATGTAATGGATTCGAGTGGAATTCAGAAGTCGTCTCTCCTATTCCTCAGTATATATATATATATATATATATATATATATATATATATATATATATATATATGTAGATAGATAGATAGATATATAAAATATTTTAGTAGCATCGTGATTTCCCACCTGATGAGACGTTGAAAATTTTAACATTGAAACAGGATGTACAGTTTTGTAGTGGGTATGTGCAATGTTCTAATGTAACATTGCATACTAAATAAATATTTATTGCTCTACTTTTGTATTGAGCCCTTTTTAAATTAATGTTTTGAACGTATAAATCTTACTCTTCGTTCTTTTACACACACACTCACACATATTGTTTTATGTTATTACATCAAAAACATGTAAAAACGCTACACAAATACAATCGCGTTTCGATGTGTATTAACACATTTCATCAGGCGTTAGTAAATGACTGGTGAATGGACAATGTATTGAGATTTAAAACCAAAATACCCCGATCTTTTCCTGAGAAAAGAAAGATACAAGATACACTCTCTTTTCTCAAGAAAAGGAAGATTAAGAAAAAGATTAAGAAAGAAAAGAGAGGGAATAGTAGTAGGGTTTGTTTATATTCAGATCAACCAATTGGAATGGCCTACGCTATGTTCAAAGTAAGGGGAAAAACCAAAGAAGCAGTCATACATAAGAGATTTAGAATCGCAGATGACATCTAAAAGTCATATTCGGTACACATGTAAATTGGCTACAATAGTTTACATTAGACAAATATAATTACCTATGAGAGAAGAAACGTAATTTAACAAGATACACGACAAACTACATACCCTGTGAGTTAAAAAAAATTAAAATTTCACATTTTTATAGTTGGTAAATAAACCAGCCTTTTAAGAAATAAAAGGAAAGTTTAAACAAATAAATCTAACAAAATTAATAAAATATATAGATCTAATAAAATTATTTAAACATACAGATCAAACGAAATTATTTAAGCATATAGATTTAACAAAATTATTTAAATATATAGATCATACAAACTAAAATTGAATGCAACTGTTAACTAAAGGGTCATTATATAAAGTGTTAATAAAACCAATCAATGCAAAATGTCAACCAAAACCCAATACAGCTATACTAAATATTACCAACAATACTAGAAGTTTAATACAAAAATTATACTACGACGAAATTGATCTTACTGACAGAAAGATAAGCCTTATATGGTGCAACAAGTTTTAACTAAAATATAAGAAACAACTGTCAAATTTGAAAGTCTAGCAAGACGGTAGAGTCAAAGGTGTGATATGTTTACGATTAACAATGGTTTATACCAAGGACTTCCCATACTTAATACTTCTCGAATTCACTCTCGAGTGGTCATGTTTAACGTCATGAGCTGCGGTGCGATTTTCGCTTCTAGCGTCTTATATGCACGTGTTTATCGTTGCTTGGAAATCGTCCATGGAAACAGAAACAGACTATCATGACATTCTTGTCCGTGTATTGCTTAATATATTGTACTGTAATTGTCATCTTTGATAATGGTTTATGTAAGCCGAAAGCTTAAAATGGATTAAAAATATGTATCAATATTGTCAAGTTTCCTTTCTTCGTTTAATGATAATGCTATTAAACATCAGACGTTATGAAAAGAATTTTGCATAAAATAAATAGACAACACTTGTCTATATTATTTAATGAAACATGTATGAATATATATATATATATATATATATATATATATATATATATATATATATATATATATATATATATATATATATATATATCTATATGTATTTATGCACATATATATATATAATTTATATTATATATGTACATATATATATATATATTCCCATAATATATATATATATATATATATATATATATATAAATCCCCAAATATATACACACACACACACACACACACACACACACATATATATATATATATATATATATATATATATATATATATATATATATATATATATATATATATAAGCATATATCCATATATATGTATATAAAGGATTTTTTTCATATATATATATATGTATAAATATAAATATAAAATAAATATATAAATATAAAATAAATATATAAATATATATAAATAATATAAATATAATAAATATAAATATATATATGTATAAATATATAAATATAAATAAATATATATATATATATAAATATATATATATATTACATGAAAATACCATGATACACACACACATATATATATATATATATATATATACAAAGAGATTTTGTTTATATATATGTTACAACGCACTCTTCGACCTATTGTCTTAAAGAACAACTGCTTTTCCTCTGCTAATTAAAATATTCGTCTAAAGTGCTTTAGTATCATTTGTCAATGTCAAACCACAGCTGATTTGATTTCAAGATTTCATATTGAATCCTTAAAAAACGTTTAATGCACACATTGGAAATCATCTTTTGAAAAAAAACAGAACGTGGCCTTTTGTCTGACTTTGATAAAAGAAATACAAGTATATAAGTTTGCTTGACGACATTCTATGCAAACCATTTTGTATCGGGTAGAGAAATAATAGCGAGAAAAAAATGTTTGGCATAAAGGAGATATATTTGATAGATAAAATACCAAATAGAGATTCAGAAACTCCCTGCTAAGAAAAGAAAACAAGGAGGATTAAAAAGGAAAAAAAAAAGAGTTCAAACTTCGACTGATGTCCGCCATTTTATTGGAAGATCTATTTAGCAGACGAGTGGCGAACCGCGCATTTGATGAGTTCCATACTTTTTTCCTGCGCTTAACTCAATCAGAATAAGAGTTGAAAGAGAATCACGAAATTTTAGAGGCTACGATTAAAGATAGATTTTTAGTTGCAAAGAGAAAATTGATCTCTTGTTTCGAAGAGAAGGTTATTGCTTTTTCTCTTTAACGTTTCGATTTTCTTACTGACAACATTGGCGTCCAGTTGAAAAGTCGACTCAGTGACGTTCTTTCTTTGTCTATTTTGTTAACGTGATTGTTGCAAGATTTTGAAATTATATTTGTGCAAATCTCTTTTTCAGAAACATTCTTTATCTATCTATCTATCTATCTATCTATCTATCTATCTATCTATCTATCTATCTATCTATCTATCTATCTCATTCTTGTTATCTATCTATCTATCTATCCATCTATCTATCTCCATCTCATCTATCTATCTTCCATCTATCCCATTCTTGTCATCTATCATCTATCTATCCATCTATCTATCTATCTATCTATCCATCCATTCTTCTATCCCATATCTATCTATCTATCTCTATCTATCTATCTATCTATCTATCTATCTATCTATCTATCTATCTATCTATCATCTCTATCTATTCATTCTTTTCATCTCCAATCCATCCATCTTCTCATATCTATCCATCTATCTCATTCTCTATCTGTCATATCTATCTCTATCTATCTATCTATCTATCTATCTATCTATCTATCTATCTATCATCTCCATTTTCATATCTATCTATCTATCTATCTATCTATCTTCTATCTCATTTCATATCTATCCATCTATCTCATTCTTCCATCCATTCTTGTCATATCTCCATCCATATCTATCTATCTATCTATCTATCTATCTATCTATCTATCTATCTATCATCTATCTATCATCTCTTATCTATCTATCTCCTATCTTATCTATATCTATCTCATCTATCTATCTATATCTATCTATCTCATTTTTCCATATCTATCTATCTATCTATCTATCTATCTATCTATCTATCTATCTATCTCATTCTTTCATATCTATCCATCTATCTCATTCTTGTCATATCTATCTATCTATCTATCTATCTATCTATCTATCTATCTATCTATCTATCTATCTATCCCATTCTTTCATCATCCATCTATCAGGATTCGTATCTATCTATCTATCTATTGATCTATCCATCTCATTTTCTTCTTCTCACGCCAAACAGTTACACTACCCACAATTACTTGTTTCCTTACAATATATATATATATGTATGTATATTATTTTTTTTTTATTGACTATTTGGGATCATAGATCTATCCTCATCTCTCTATCTATTTATCATCTATTATTCTATGAATCTATCTTCTAATTTCATCCATCATCCACTTGGACCCAGTATCCATTTCCAGAGTCTTTTTTCTATAGAGGTTAGGTATTTATTTCTGAGGCGTATAATTCTAATGAATTTTTCCGTTATTCCCTTTATATACTTCTGAACTTTTTATCCAAATACGTTCTGTTTTTTTCATCCTAACCCGTGAAGTGGACGCCATATTATGACCTTTGACTTTTTTTTTTTTATGCCTTATCAACCATTTTTGTAAGATATTATAAACTGAAACATATTCTTGATTTATTAGAATAATTGTTCTTTTTTATTTTGCTAGTACATATTAAGAATTTTGGGGAGACAATAATGATTTTTCCAGATATGTTATACTATTTAACTCATAACTATTGGGGAGATGATTTATATCTTTCCTAAGAGTATTTACGCGTAAGTGAATATAACGAACCGATATACCGAGCTGATATTCATTGCATCACCAGCACATCCCAGCTTACAGCACCTGAAATTCCGAAGTGGTCACCCATCTAGGTACTGACCATTCTCGTCGTTGCTTAACTGACTAGAATCGGAGATTCAACGTAACTATCTATCCCATCCTCTCACTATCCATCCATCCATCCCATTTCAGCGAAAGACTTTTTGATTTTAAGTTTTTTTTTATCTATCTATCTATCTATCCA